GAGGTGCTTGAATTCTTATATATAAACACCCACACGCACGCACACGCACACGCGCACGCGCGCACGCGCACACGCACACGCACACACACACACGCCTAAGAATTCAAGTACCTCACCCTACACTCGAGGGGAATCAAATCGCAGACCACACACACACACACACACAGACAAGCAGATGCTCGACCAATTGATCTGATTACATGACGCATACATACATACATACATACATACATACAACTGTTGTAAGTTCCCTCTGGTCTGCGATTTGATTCCCCTCGAGTGTAGGGTGAGGTACTTGAATTCTTAGGCGTGTGTGTGTGTGCGTGTGCGTGTGCGCGTGCGCGCGTGCGCGTGTGCGTGTGCGTGCGTACTTACAACAGACAAGCAGATGCTCGACCAATTGATCTGATTACATGACGCATACATACATACATACATACATACATACAACTGTTGTAAGTTCCCTCTGGTCTGCGATTTGATTCCCCTCGAGTGTAGGGTGAGGTACTTGAATTCTTAGGCGTGTGTGTGTGTGCGTGTGCGTGTGCGCGTGCGCGCGTGCGCGTGTGCGTGTGCGTGCGTGTGTGTGTCTATATATAAGAATTCATACATACATACATACATACATACATACATACATACATACATACATACATACATACATACATACATACATACATACATACATACATACATACATACATACATACATACATACATACATACATACATACATACATACATACATACATACATACATACATACATACATACATACATACATACATACATACATACATACATACATACATACATACATACATACATACATACATACATACATACATACATACATACATACATACATACATACATACATACATACATACATACATACATACATACATACATACATACATACATACATACATACATACATACATACATACATACATACATACATACATACATACATACATACATACATACATACATACATACATACATACATACATACATACATACATACATACATACATACATACATACATACATACATACATACATACATACATACATACATACATACATACATACATACATACATACATACATACATACATACATACATACATACATACATACATACATACATACATACATACATACATACATACATACATACATACATACATACATACATACATACATACATACATACATACATACATACATACATACATACATACATACATACATACATACATACATACATACATACATACATACATACATACATACATACATACATACATACATACATACATACATACATACATACATACATACATACATACATACATACATACATACATACATACATACATACATACATACATACATACATACATACATACATACATACATACATACATACATACATACATACATACATACATACATACATACATACATACATACATACATACATACATACATACATACATACATACATACATACATACATACATACATACATACATACATACATACATACATACATACATACATACATACATACATACATACATACATACATACATACATACATACATACATACATACATACATACATACATACATACATACATACATACATACATACATACATACATACATACATACATACATACATACATACATACATACATACATACATACATACATACATACATACATACATACATACATACATACATACATACATACATACATACATACATACATACATACATACATACATACATACATACATACATACATACATACATACATACATACATACATACATACATACATACATACATACATACATACATACATACATACATACATACATACATACATACATACATACATACATACATACATACATACATACATACATACATACATACATACATACATACATACATACATACATACATACATACATACATACATACATACATACATACATACATACATACATACATACATACATACATACATACATACATACATACATACATACATACATACATACATACATACATACATACATACATACATACATACATACATACATACATACATACATACATACATACATACATACATACATACATACATACATACATACATACATACATACATACATACATACATACATACATACATACATACATACATACATACATACATACATACATACATACATACATACATACATACATACATACATACATACATACATACATACATACATACATACATACATACATACATACATACATACATACATACATACATACATACATACATACATACATACATACATACATACATACATACATACATACATACATACATACATACATACATACATACATACATACATACATACATACATACATACATACATACATACATACATACATACATACATACATACATACATACATACATACATACATACATACATACATACATACATACATACATACATACATACATACATACATACATACATACATACATACATACATACATACATACATACATACATACATACATACATACATACATACATACATACATACATACATACATACATACATACATACATACATACATACATACATACATACATACATACATACATACATACATACATACATACATACATACATACATACATACATACATACATACATACATACATACATACATACATACATACATACATACATACATACATACATACATACATACATACATACATACATACATACATACATACATACATACATACATACATACATACATACATACATACATACATACATACATACATACATACATACATACATACATACATACATACATACATACATACATACATACATACATACATACATACATACATACATACATACATACATACATACATACATACATACATACATACATACATACATACATACATACATACATACATACATACATACATACATACATACATACATACATACATACATACATACATACATACATACATACATACATACATACATACATACATACATACATACATACATACATACATACATACATACATACATACATACATACATACATACATACATACATACATACATACATACATACATACATACATACATACATACATACATACATACATACATACATACATACATACATACATACATACATACATACATACATACATACATACATACATACATACATACATACATACATACATACATACATACATACATACATACATACATACATACATACATACATACATACATACATACATACATACATACATACATACATACATACATACATACATACATACATACATACATACATACATACATACATACATACATACATACATACATACATACATACATACATACATACATACATACATACATACATACATACATACATACATACATACATACATACATACATACATACATACATACATACATACATACATACATACATACATACATACATACATACATACATACATACATACATACATACATACATACATACATACATACATACATACATACATACATACATACATACATACATACATACATACATACATACATACATACATACATACATACATACATACATACATACATACATACATACATACATACATACATACATACATACATACATACATACATACATACATACATACATACATACATACATACATACATACATACATACATACATACATACATACATACATACATACATACATACATACATACATACATATATATATCAGTAATTGCTATGAGAAAGAACAAGAGCAGAGCCTGCAACAGATGGCATTGCTTACTAGCCTTGAATAAAAATGAGTTTCAAAAATCAGATCTGTACCATGTAAAAGTATTAAATACCCTTTCAATGTAGACATAGCTCAGAAAAATAAAAAAAATGCCCAGGCGGCTTCCATTCCTCCGCATACATACATGAACCAAATGGCGACCTGGTGCTGTAGTGCATGGATAATGATCAAAATGCAGCCAAAGCAAGAGCTATTCCTGATTTTAGTGTCATAACTGACTAGTACTCCCTGCTGTCAAATCTCTTCATTGCTGCTAAGTATAGCAAAAATCAGATGTTTCAATGATCATGCTGCACACTGAAAGTTTAAGGTGATGGCAAAACCACAGTATGATGCTTTAAGTGGTGATGACATCAATGAAAAATTACTTTTGGAAGGCAATGATTTGCCTATCAAAACCAGCAACTGTGCCAGATAAATTATCCGTGATTGTATCAGCAGACTTGAAGCCAACCTACAAGCAAAGAAATCAATTAGTTAAATAAAAATACAAAGCATAACAATGTACTATTTAAAATAGAGCTGCATATACAAAAATATACAAAAAAAAAAAAAAAAACTGCTCGAGGGGGAGAACTTATAGTATGCTACCTTATCTAGAAGGATATCTCGAAATTGATCTGGATGTAGATGAATATTATTATAGTTAGTCCTTGTACTCTGCAAACATTAAATTTTCCCTTCTAAGCAACAGTCAATATAACAAGATGCTTATCCTAGGATAAATTTAAAGCATAAAAAGAGAAGCAGGCCAAGGTACAAATTTTAGTATAGCCAGCCATACCACATATGGCAGTTAAAATAAGTAATAATAAAGGAATGAAACACTGCAACCAAAGAACTACAAATTAACGAAAGTGAATTATATAAAAATGGCAACTGATATAAATTGGAAACCTTGTACAAACATGGCAAGTCAATGGTTCCTATTTAGGAAATCATCTAATGGCACCATGCGCAACTAGAAACTTCAAATCAGGATCTGTTATATGTCAAGAAAGTGCTGCTCTATTATAGATACAGGAAGTCGGTCTAACAAATCAAGCAGAAAATAATGACTACTATGTCAGAGACGCATCATTCAGACCAATTTCATAGCAGAGTTTGGTGCTCATAAGGTTAAAATACAATCAGTTTTCTTTTCGTAGCACTGAATTTCAACAAAACAACATGCAAAATAAATCTCAATGAAAGAACATTGTTGCAAAAGTTCTCTAAAATTTGAGACCATGAATTTTATAAACACGCAAAAGAATAAAACCTGATTGGATAATGGAATGAACAGATAAATTGAAAAGTTAGGCACAAATGAGACTTGAACAAAATCAAGATTAAGTAGGTTATCAGCTAGAAAATGACCAACACGCCAAAAGCAGAGCAACAATTGTCATAGCTAATCATGCAGTAGTTATATAATATACTAAATATTACAATATCCAGTGTTAAAATTCCCCAGAAATATATGTGTTGTTCATTCAGTGGGAGATTTCCGCGTAAGGAGCAGCAAGCTCAGAGACATGCGCACAGGAGATGTCTTGTTCATCAATTGCAGAGTGGCTTGGCATCCATCAAGCAGCTCGATGTCTGTTCCTCAGGTAGGGTATCACAGGTGTCCGCTGTTAGCATTTGTTTTACGGCTAGGGCCTATTGTCATCCCCATATTAGTGTTTGCAACTAAACGCTCCACAACTAGGGGTTCTAGGTGACGTCCGTGTTTAGCATTCCAGGAGACATGTTATGTCGCCTTCGACCTAAGCTTCTTCTTTTCCGTGCAACATAGGTGAGGAAACTTTGTGGGGTTCCTTCTCAACTTCATCCACTATCGTTGACACCAACAACACCTCATGGCATATGCAACCCATCCGAAGTGTGCCAACTCTGCTCCTCTTTTCTTTAGATAGAAGTACATTTTTTTTTCTCGTCAGGATTGTGCAATCTCTTATGTTGATTTCTACTAGTGGATTTTACATTCCTATTTTATCAAAGCCACTTCAGATTCCAAATCATCCTATAAAGACTTCTTCCAGGGCCTTAATTGAACATGCTGTAAGATTGCCACCTCCTTCACTTGTCAGCCTTGATGCTCCTAAAGTTGCTCCTCTTCCTTTCTCCAGAATGATTAAGCCTCCCGCACCTCAACTTGGGCACTCTTTTGAGAAACTTGTTTGTGTCTTGAATATTGTTGATATTTTTCCCTCTCCATTCAACAGTACTCCACAATTCATTCACCAAAATTCAAAAACTCGTCAACATAAACAACTTTCATATTTTTAAGGCAAGCATGCTCTAATCTTTTCTCAAGAAGAAATTTCTTTGTTTGCTACGTCTCTCACACTCACTTATTAACAAATTTTCTAGCATAAAGGTAGTTTGCAAATTTATATCTAATTTACAATTGTTAGGTAACTCCTCCATTTTGCTCATTAACACTTGCTATACCATAAAACATTCTTTTCAGGCTCTTCTCATGACATTTCTATTGTATCAATAAGCTTCAAATGAGCATGCTAAATAGTAAACCTTTCCAACTAATTGTTTCAGGGAGTCCATTATCACTTCTTAAATTTCATTTCCACAACTTAATTTTCACTACTTCAACCAATCTACTCCTTGACTCACGTTTCTGAAAAATTCTTATAGATGGATGCCACAACAGCTTATTTTTTAAGCTCTCATTGGCTATGGTATTAATGGAATTAGATGTTATGACCCTCTTTCATAAGGGGGTGTCGATTACGTATCTTACATTAAGATATCGGCGCAAGATAAAATTTAAAAATAAGCCATCATATTCCACTTGCCATATTTTCGCAAATAAATTTTTTTATTATTACAAGGCTCATCCCAAGCTGAGAAATCCTCCGTTTTAGTCACAAAATCTTTCACCTGATGCTAATATTGATCATCCTAATACTTTAGTGGAAGATACCTATTATTTGTTGTTTTTTTCCAAAACCTAGAGCCAAGTTCAATTTCTCTGTAAGAAAAAGTGGTCGACAACCTATTCATGCTAGCTACATAGTTTTCATCATTTCATCATTACTGATATTATCTCCAAAAATGCTAATGCAATTTTCTGAAAAGCCTCAACTTTTTCTCATCATGAACAAAGTGATGATTATCGATCACATTAATATCAATTCCTTGGGGGAGAAAAGACTTTAGTTAAGCTTCAAATGAGCATGTTAAATAGTCCCCCTTTCCACCTAATTGTTTTAGGGCGTCTCTTATCACTTCTGCTTCAATTTCATTTCCACAAATTTGCTTTCACTACTTCAACCAATCTACTTATTTTCCTAGACTCTTGTTTCTCAAAAAATTTTATAGATGGATGCTACAACAGCTTATTTTTTAAGCTCTTATTGGCTATGGTATTAATGGAATTAGATGTTTATTACCCTCTTTCATAAAGGGATGTCGATTAAGTATCAGCCATTAAGATATTGGCACAAGATAAAATTTAAAAATAAGCCATCATATTCCACTCGTCATATTTTCGCACATAAATTTTTTTATTATTTCAAGGTACATCCCAAGCTAAGAAATCCTCTGTTTTAGTCGCAAGACCTTTCACCTGATGCTAATATTGATCATCCTAAACTAAGATGCCAATTTGCATGTTATCTTAGTTTTAATATTTAATTTATAAATGTTAGTTGATGACACATGCAACAAGTAGACATTAAACATTTTTTATGCTCATAACTCATTCATAAATCATTATTCTTTACAGAAATATATGTAAGTTTTTTTTAATATGTAAATATATGCAAGTGCAAAAGTAGCAATGGCTGACATAAGAAGAGAATAAAAAAATTAAATGTATAGGTGACTTGCATGATAGAAACCTAATTATGCTCTGGACCTCACCCTTAATTCATCTTCATCTAAGAATATGAAAACTACTGAGAAATTAATATTTACGTATTTTTTATACAATTTAAAGATTTGAGTTTTATACATAAAAAAATATCAAAACTCAAGTGTTAGACATGTAAATACATAAAAATTGTTGTATGTATGTAAATCTTCTAACTAAAAACAACAAAAAGGCTTTAAAATCACATCTAAAAGTAAAATTTATGAAGAAAGTTGATCAGCAGATGTGTGCAAAAATAGCTAATCATCACCTCAGACAGTAGTCGGTATCTTTTATATGACGTCCATGGCTGAGGCTCCAGCAAAAGAACTCCCCCCTTTAAGAAATGGTCAAAATAATATAAAGCACCAAAATAAACTATACTTTGACACCAAAAAAAATAAAAATAAAATTTATTACGGGTTTAAGAAGCCTCCAAATCTTAGAAAATAATGTCAGCAGTCCATCATCTCCCCAATTTAAATGGATCCACTTTGTTACACTAAGACTGTAAAATCTAGGGCAAGTTATTATTTGTAGGCCATTAATGAGCAATAATGAATAAAGACAGAAGTCAAAAATGTTTAAGAAAAGAGGATAGAAGCTTGAAACTTTTAAACTTGAAGGAACGTAATTACCAAAGAATTGTGTGAAACTTTTCAGAAGATCTATGTATATTTTCAACGAAGTTCTCACAATGGAATGAAACTCTTTGAAGAAGATCCTGCTCTCTAGGAAATGAAGGACAACATTGCGGGTACAAAGTTTCCTCATTCAATACTAGAGGAAACTTCTGCTCTGATAAATCTCCACAATTTAAGCCTTCAGCATATGAACACTTTGCCAAAGTACCATGAGATTTTTGTTTTCTAACTGTATTTCGTAGGTTACATCGAGCATCTTCAATAAGTCCTAATCAACATGCAGAAAAGTGTTCATGCATGAATCAAGCACACCAAATCCATCTGCCACAATTATCCAATTTACATTTGCTGGTAAATAAAATGCTTGGCATCATATGAGTAAGAAAAACTTTAGCCATTATATATTTACATCATCATCATGCAGTGGGTCAAATACTAATTGATGAAACAATAATCACACAAAAAGATTAATGATAAACAGAAGGTATTAGCAAGCAATGATCAAACAAAGTTGCCGATTATATAATACTTGTGTAAATTGAAGGAAATGAAAAGGACTGATAAGAAAATAACGTCAATTGTTTGAACCACAAATTGTTCAAAATCACATTTATTGGAAGCTTATAACACCAATATATGCAACAGACCAAAAGACCCTACTTCTAGTCCCCATGCACAATGGCTGATGATAGCAGGCAAGATCTGCCAGACACTAATATTTGGGACTTTACAAGTCTCAAACTGCTATAAGACTGCTAAGAAGTGTGGAAACAAAACCTTTAAGAAAAAAGAGCTAGGATCTCGGGTCATAATATTACTAGATCCTCAAGAATGGTGACCATAAACATGGAAGAGCTACTCTGTATAAAGCCAAGGCTTTCAATATCAGTTTTGGCTTTTCTGTGAGTTCATAGTGTGTGAATACAGGCTTTTGGTTTAGAGGGTCAAATAAGGACGCATGGAGAGAGAGATGACGGGCGAAGCTGCCTGTAAAAGGGGAGAAAAAAAAATTGTGGTGAGAGCGGGAGGCCAAGGGGAAAGGCCCAAGCACACCAAAAGTAGTGGCTTCAAGATGAATTACAAAAGAATAGATGGTTTATAGGCGATTCAAATTTATAGCCTACATTTACCATTCACAAAATTCCATCTTAGTACCTAGTTCCCTTCCAAGGTCATAATGTAGCACCTCGTTAATAAGGGGGTGTGAAACTATGCAGGTTAGACCACTTACAGAGAGTAAGGTGGGGAGTCGAAGAAGTGAACCAGTGTGATTTCGATTCCCAGGACATGAAATAGGAAGACAAAGCAAAGAGACTAGAGGTGCGAGCAAGTTTGTTGTTATAAGGTTGGCAAATCAGTCTAAGGGGATGATCTACTAAGTGAACTAAGACCTATATCGGGGGACAAGCAGTGTGCCTTCAGCTTTAATAAGAGAGAGAGAGAGAGGCATAGGAATAGAAGGCAAAGGAGTGAAATCGGAGATGAGTGTGGCCAGACTAACTTGGGAGGAGTCATGCAAGCCAAGACTAACTTGCGTGTTTTCATGCAGCATCAAGTAGATCAAGGGATAAGATGAGTTCGATCGGATAGACACACGAGGCCAAGCAAGGCACTTGAATAAGCACAACGTGTTAGCTAAGCATAAAGAATCAACCACTGCAAACTTTTCTTTTCTGGGATGAGAATGATTTGAATTTGGAGAAGAATGCGTAAAATTTCTTTTCATCGAAAGTAAATTGATTAAAATATTTTGTTAGGGTTGAAGGAAGATTATCAACAAGCAAAGTATTTATAATAAAGGAAGAAGACATTTAAGGTTGCTATTGTTGGAAGGTAAAACTAAGCTCAATACTAAATTTTTATTTTTAGTATATTTATTTAATTTGTTAGAGAAAGCAATTCAATATAAGTCTTAAATGGAAGGAATTATTGAAAATCATTAGTATTTTGAATGTGTAAAGAAATAAGTCTTTCTTAAAATTTAAGCATCCTAATACATTCAAGTTTATTAGAAAAGACTAATACATAATTTTATTTATTGATAAAAAAATGTATATTTTTAATTAATGATAATACATTGTTGTTAAGATGATCAAATTATATATAAATTCATATGACACTTATGAATAATGATTAAATAACTAAGTTTTCTTATTACATTATTTATAATTAAACATCGTAATTTGAAGTGGTGAGAATCAAAGTTTTTATAAGATAAGAATTATTCGTATTATATAATATTTAATAAAATAAATTGTACATTAATCAATGAGGATAATTTTCTAGGAATCAATCAAGTTGAAATATAAATTTATTTTCTTTAAAAATAATAATAATAATACATGAGATAATTGAAAAGGGGCAAATCAAGGTAAATATATGAGAGAAAATTTAAAGAAAATCAAAGTAGTAAATTAAAAATAGTAGTAATTAGTCAGAAGTTTAGGAATTCGACCAAGTACAATCTTTTGGATATTGTCGTTTAAGGGTGCAAGAGAATTTGAATTGTGCATGTCTTATGTATATATTTGGGTATGATCTACAGAATTGAGTATTTGAGGATGGGAGGATAAGGCTTAAGGACAAGTATTTGCACAATTTGAGAATGGATAATCACATTCCTGAATGAGAGTATTATTTCCTGCTTCTGAATCTTATGCACATAAGCAATATGTTTATAAATTATTCTTTTTGATAAATCTTATTACTGTAGATGATTTATCATATTGCAAGAAAAGAACATAGAATTTAATTTTTATTCCATAATTGTTTATGAAGTTGTTTATCTCGGGAAACATAATATTAGGACATCTAGATTTCTTTATAGATGAGCATATGCTTTTGAAGAAACAAACTATCTCATAGAAAGATAGTGAAGTATGAAGAAATATGAATGCTGGTAGGTGTAAGCTAAAAAGAGTTCACCCCATTATAACACTAGTTGAAGACGTCAGTGTATCTACAAAGTTGATGTGTTGCTACCACTTCAGACAATTTTGGAGTTAAAACTACGCCCCGTTGTGCCAATAGGGGCAGTTACACTCAAGTTCATCTATTTATTTAAAACTAATGGCTCTGATTAGAACTAATCATTCACAACCATTTCCAACCATATAAACCACCATCTTAAGCTCATTCCTTAAAATAATATTTAAATCATCTCAAACTAGCACAATCTGGACTAATCTTGACATTCCTACAATTATATAATACTAAGTCACCTATCATCGACCAAAAACTCAATATTTATAGAATTTTTCTAACCTTTAATTTTACCAAAAACTCGCCCACTACCATCATTTTGACCATTTTATGCTTTATGACTCGGCCTCAATCAGTGCTAATTAGAATTCTTCCTTGTGAAAAGGTATAAAAGACACAATACATGACCCATAAAACTACATAATAATAATAAAACTAGTTCATTTATTTTGAATAAGTGGTATAAAGCCATGCAATAAAGAAACCTTTATTTATTAACAAAGGATTTTCATATACTTGATTTTATGCTTGTTCATAAATTACCAAATTATATCTTGAGAGATTAATTATATGAATGAAGCTCCACAAACACCTAATAAATATTAAAACTATAAAAGCACAAAATGGGGTAAATAAACACTCAATCAATGAATAACTATAGAATAAAAGGCCCAGTACAGATAGGTTTTGTTAAAGACACTAGTAAAAAGAGAAAAAATTAATTAGGTTTTACATACATACAACTTATCCTAAATTTATATAAAAAATACAAATTTGAATTTTTAAGTATGAGGCATGTTCTATCTGCTTTTAATCATTGCCTCTGCATAGTCCTTGCCATGGTGATAATGCTCTATTGGGATTTACGCTCATATATAGGTCCATACAACGTCTTCCAATCCTAAAAAATATACATATAGAAACCACACATCAATAGGTCGGGCCAATGGAAGAGGTAAGCTAGTAAAGTATCTACATACAATGTAAAACATGAATATGTTTTATTTGCATACCCTCATCTTTAGGCAAGGCCTCATACAAAAGAATGCATATACAACTTTAATTCTTATTACACACACACAAACAATAAAACATAACAAAAATGCTTCATGAAATGTACAACCAGCACAAACACATCATATCAGCTAAATAATGAGACAAATTTCTAGATGCATCCTAAACTAGCAAGCATCTCCTATTAATAACAATAATGAGGCAAAAAATGTGAGAGATTAGACTGGAAGAAAGATTTAGAAAGATTTATGTCATATTATCTAAAGAAGACAACCAAATATGGTCTCCCCAAAAAATCAAATTAAAATAGAATGTCATCCTAATCTAATAATTTTTTAAATTAAATTTATGGCTTTGAAAATATAAATAAATACAAAAAAAAATTTTATCATAAAGAAGATTTTGAGTAATGTTGTCTTACATATAATTTAAATGCTTATGTAGCAAAACTCAAGTTTTGTACCATTAGCACAATTATATGAGATCAAATTATAGCATATCAATTTTAGTTGTTTGATGAGTATGCTCGCAAATAAAATGAACTATTTACCAAAACCATAGGTCAAACCTATATCTAGGGCTAGGTTCACTAGATAGCTAATATGCTGACTAAAGATCATAATGCAAATGCATCCTAATACACATGAAGGGTTAAATGAATTATTGAAGAGGGAACATCATCAATCATTCAGCCTAAATTTAGAAGCTTAAACAAGCATATAAATGACTAAGAGGAAGATTAAAGCAACTGTAGGGGTCCAAAAACTCCTAACATAAAAAGAAACTTAGATAAGAATAACTTGCCAAAGCAAAGAAGGGTCCTTAGAGGGTAGGGGTCCACTAAAAGGATAAACATTACCATAGTAGATATTATCATCAAAGGTACGAAGGTCCCCTAGTGAATGTGGGTCCACAAGGTGAATGGACATTACCTGGTGAATGGAATTTACTTATGTGGGGATAATTTAAAAAAAAAAAAAAAAAAATGCCAGTGGGTAGGACTCAACAATAAAGGGATGGCGCAAGAAAATCTAATGCTCGATATGGGCAACAAATGAGGGGATACATGTAGAAATAAATTATTATGATAAAGCAATTAGGAATTCTGAAGTTATTCTGCAAACCGAATGCATAAAAGTCCAATTAGAAGAGTTAAGATGTGAGAGCTGAGAAGTGTGTGATGGAAGAGAGAGAGAGAGAGCTGACAAATCTGTGATGATAGACATGTACTAGAAAGGAGCTAACAAATAGATGATTTTGCAAGACAAAAAG